TCTCCTCCTGAGTCCTCTCTTCCTGCGCTTGCCGACCCTGAGTCGGACTCTCTTCGTGCTGCCAGTCCTACTGTCACGCGTCTGCTTGCTACTGTCGTCACTGACCCCTCTTTTGAGTCCACTGCTGCGTCTGCTCTAGTCGCTGAGCTCGTCGACTTTGCTGCTCGCTGTCGTCTCGACTACGCTGCTAGTCTTGTTGCTGAGTCTGTGTCTGTCTGTCCTCCGTCCGTCGGGGGTGAGTGTGCTCTTGGCACGGACGTCCTAGAGGACAGGCAGGAGGAGTTACAGTGTCTAGCGGCTGCTTCACCTCATCTCGCGTCTGTACTGCTTGCCCCTGAGGGAGACCCGGATGCACTAGACATCCCGACTCCGCGTTCTTACGCGGAGGCCGTAGAGGGTCCCTACTCCTCTCAGTGGCAGGCAGCTATGGATGCAGAGATGGCTTCCTGGAAGTCCACAGGCACCTACGTTGACGCGGTTCCCCCTCCTGGGGCGAACATCATCAGTGGCATGTGGATCTTCAGGGTGAAGCGGCCGCCGGGCTCTCCACCTGTCTTCAAGGCACGGTACGTTGCTCGTGGCTTCAGTCAGCGGCAGGGAGTTGACTACTTTCAGACCTTCTCTCCCACCCCGAAGATGACTACTCTTCGGGTGCTGCTGCACATAGCCGCTCAGCGTGACTACGAGCTTCACTCTCTCGACTTCAGCACTGCGTTCTTGCAGGGTAGCCTGCACGAGGAGATCTGGCTTCGCCGTCCACCTGGCTTCACTGGGACTTTCCCTCCTGGCACCCAGTGGAGCCTCCGACGGCCAGTCTACGGTCTCCGCCAGGCACCGCGTGAGTGGCACGACACACTGAGGACTACGCTTGCGGCTCTTGGGTTTGCTCCTTCTACTGCTGACCCGTCGCTGTTTCTTCGCACCGACAGTTCCCTGCCGCCGTTCTACATCCTCGTGTACGTCGACGACTTGGTCTTTGCCACAGCGGACACTGCTGGACTCGCCTACGTGAAGTCCGAGCTGCTGAAGAGACACACGTGCACAGACCTGGGTGAACTGCGCAGCTACCTTGGCTTGCAGATCACTCGGGACAGAGCACGCCGCACCATTACCTTGACTCAGTCACACATGGTGCAGCAGGTCCTTCAGCGCTTCGGCTTCACGTACTCCTCGCCTCAGGCCACTCCTCTGCCTACTCGCCACTCACTCTCAGCTCTGCCTTCGGATGAGTCCGTAGAGTCGAGTGGTCCGTATGCAGAGCTTGTTGGCTGCCTCATGTACCTGATGACCTGCACACGACCTGACCTTGCATACCCTCTGAGCATTCTTGCACGCTATGTTGCTCCTGGGAGACACAGACCAGAGCACATGGCTGCAGCGAAGAGGGTATTGCGCTACCTGTGCAGTACGTCGGGCATGGGGCTAGTGCTTGGAGGGCGGAGTCCAGTGGTCCTTACAGGCCACGCGGACGCTTCTTGGGCTGACGACCAGGCTACGCAGCGGTCGTCACAGGGTTACACCTTCAGCCTTGGTTCCGGCTCTGTCTCGTGGCGGTCTACTCGCTCGTCTTCGGTTCTCGGCTCCAGTTGTGAGGCTGAGATCTACGCCGGGGCCATGGCTGCACAGGAGCTTCGCTGGCTCACCTACCTGCTGACTGACCTTGGAGAGCCGCCTCGTTCTCCTCCAGTGCTGTACGTAGACAACAAGGCCATGCTGGCCTTGTGTCGAGAGCAGCGCTTGGAGCACAGAACGAAGCACATTGCTCTCCGCTACTTCCTTGCTCGTGAGCTGCAGCAGCGTGGTCAGTTGCGACTTGCGTACGTGGCCTCTGAGGCCAACACTGCTGATGTGTTCACCAAGGCACTTGCGCCTTGTGACCATCAGCGCTTTTGTACCCAGCTGGGTCTTGTGCCTGTCTTGCCTCACTTGCTCTCCTCTTGACTTTACTTGTACTGTGACATATATATACCTGCTCTTGCTTGTCTTGCTTTATATATATATGTCTGTACTCTTGCATGTGAACTGGCCTTTGGCCTTGCTCTTGTGCTCGGACTGTGTGGTGACTTTGTGATCCACCCTGAGCTTTGCTTTGCCTTGCTTGACTGGTCTTGTGACCCCTTGTTCTCCCCCACTTTGCCTATGGGGGTGTGTCAGAACATATATACAGCTTATACTATTGTGTAGGCTGTAGTGGGGTATCCCATAGGGGGTACAACCCAGTTAGGGTTTCCCATTTGTACTGTTTTCATTCCATAGTCAATCATTCCTGTTTTCTTTGCTTCACAGCCGGACCTCTCCCTTACTGCTCCGTCGATGTCCCAATGGATGACGAAAATCCTCGCGAAAGCGCCAACGCCGAAGTATTTTACCACTTCGCCGACAACGGTTACGTTACACCTGCAGAAGTCAACACCAACGCAGCAGAACACATAGGGCCCAACTTCATACTTGACCCAGAAGCAGGTGACGAAGCAGCTTATCCCACGGACACAACACTCCCCCGCTACACACAGCATGGCCTCCAGATACTCGGCCTCATCACCACGGTCCACGGCACGGACGTTCCTAAGGAGCCTGCCACGGTTCAGCAGGCTCTGGGGGGGGAGCGTAGGGGAAAATGGCGCGAAATCATGGACAAGGAGCTGAAAGCACTGGAAGAACGGAACACCTGGAAAGTTGTTCCCATCGGCATGGCACAAAACAAGACAGTACTCACCGGGAAATGGGTCTTCCGTGTGAAGACAAAGGCAGACGGCACCATAGACAAGTTTAAAACGCGCTTGGTCGTACGCGGATTCGACCAAGAACATGGACGCGACTTCACCGAGACATTTGCCCCGGTCAGCCGACACACCTCACTACGAATCCTCCTCGCAATCACCGCCATGAAGAAGAAAAAGCTATGGCAAATTGACGTCGCCAACGCATTCCTCTACGCACCTGTCAACGCAGAAATCTTCGTCGAACTACCACATGGCTCCAACGGAGAACCTAATCACGTCTGTCAGCTGCTGAAGTTATTGTACGGCATCAAACAGGCCCCGAGACTGTGGCAGCAGTACCTACGCGCTCGGCTTATTCGCATCGGATTCCGGCAGCTACCGCACGACCAGGGCATGTACCGGCTCACGAAAGGCGACGACTATATTCTACTAATCGTCTACGTAGACGATCTACTCTACATCGGTTCGACCGACAACGTCACTACCTGGTTCGAAGGGGAGCTCAGAAAGATCTCACGCTTACAGTCTCATCTACCGTCACGCAGTACCTCTGCCTCAACATCCAGGAAGAAGAAAGCGCGATCTACCTCAACGCCGCAAAATACGCCGACACTATCGCCAAACGCTTCGCACTCACGCCGACCACAATCTCCACGCCATACCGCTACACGACAGGAAATCACAAGGAAGGCTCCACTCCACTCAAGCCTGCCGGGATACGCGACTACCAGAGGAAGCTGGGATGCCTTCTCTTCGCGGCTGTCACCTACCGCCCGAACCTATCATACTCTGCAAGTCATCTCGCCACCTACCTTAAAAGGCCTGAAGCTAAACATATGGCGGAGCTCGACCGCGCTCTTCACTACCTCGTTAGCACTCTAACGATCGGCCTGACCTACTAAAGAACGGAACTACAACGCCTAAGTTAATCGGCTACGTCGATGCCGACCACGCCGGAGATTCTGACAACAGGCGCTCGCGCACAGGCTAAATCTACCGCCTCGAGCCTATCGGACCTATCTTGTGGCAGTCGAGTAAGCAGGAATTAATCGCTCTCTCCTCAGCTGAAGCAGAATATATTGCACTCTGCTCAGCCACCAAGGAAGGATTGTACCTTCGCAAACTCTTGGAGGAAGCGAAGCTGGCTCAGTTACCCAGCTTCACTCTGTTCTGCGACAACCAGTCGGCAATTCGCATAGCCAACAAAAACGGATTCGCGAACAGGACGAAGCATATCGCCTGCGATATTTCTTCGTAAAGGACGAGATCGAGAAGGGGAGACTTGAATTATCCTACTGCCTCACGTCCGAGATGGCAGCTGATTACTTGACCAAGAAACTCAGAAAACAGAAGTTTGAGTACTACATGCTGCTGACTGGACAGAGCCACGTCACCAGCAGCGACACTCCAAAAGCGAAGGGGAGTGTTGGAAACAAGTTAAGCGCCTCTGTCATGTCGAAACACCAAGTCAGAAGCGAAGCGAAACATATCGAAGCATCAGCGAGTCAACCCTCGGAGGTTGAACAACTGCTGGAGGTTACGCGAAAGTCGAAGGTCAGCGACCTTTGACCTGACAAGTACAGCGCGACAGCAAGGACAAACAAATGACTCGCTATTGAGCAGTTGCCCGAGTCGTCACTGTATTGAACCGCAACAGCAATAGTAAAACGGTTATTAGTTATAACCCTTCATATTCCCTTGTACTCTTATAAAAGCTTGTAGTATCTCTTGTTATTAATCAATCTACTTTGCCCTCACACACCAGCTCAAGGTGGTTCACATCCTTTCATTAAGCGTTTCCGCTATTACATCAGTTCTACCAGGAGTTTAGTCCTGCAATGATTCTAAGGGCTTCCTTCTCAACCCAACAATAAAGTTGTTGCAGCTAGAATATGCTAGCATCGATGGTGATTTTTAAGCTGCACTGATGAGGATCAGTAGAATCTGCAGGAGCATGGTATTCTCAAGAGTAAGTTGTTGATACCGGTATGATGTATGTATCGCACATCAGCTTGTCTACAGACTTTTCAGATGTCATACAAGACAACCTGTTTGTCCTTAAATTCTACCCTACACCCACTACACCTGCACTGCAGTGTTTTGTATTCGGAGCAACTACAGTGCCGTGTTTCACGCACTCATACTAAACCCCCATTACCTGTGCTATTATTGGGTCAAGAGTCCCAGGAATCCCCATTTGCAGACTCTCATCGCCCATCCACCCACACCCACTCCCACCCACACCCATCGTTGCATGACCCCATTCCCCCGCAGTCATCAGTGGTTGAACGGCCCCCCTCGCAGAGTCTCATACCCCCCGCCACCAAGCCCACCGCCCCCACCCCCTGGTCCCCCGGCAGTGGCAGGGCCTTGGGCGTTCATGCTCCATTTCTTGTACTGACTCCACCCCAGCATACCCATTGTAATCACCGCAGCTGCTCCCAGGGGAATCGTCACCATGAGCACGACCATCAGAGTGTTGACTCCCGAGTCGTTCGGGGGAGAGGGAGGGGCGGTTGTGGTGGTGGTGGTTTTCGGCTTGATGATGGCTGAGGCGTTGTAGGAATCGGGGAGCATTTGCGGGACGGTGGTGTTGGGAATGCCGGCACCTGGAAACAGGAAGAAAGCAGGGGGGAGAGGGAGGTGGGAAGAGAGGAGGGAACGAGGGAAATGGTGAGACGGGGGAAACGGGGTCAGGGAATTGTCACCATGAGTACAACCATTAGAGTGTTGATCCCGAGTCGTTGGGGGGTGAGGAAGGGTGGGTGGTACCTGCAAAGTAGACGACTAGGGAGGGGGGTAAGGGGAAACGGGGGTGGGGAATCGTCACCATGAGCACGACCATCAGAGTGTTGATCCCGAGTCGTTGGGGGTTGAGGAAGGGGCAGTTGTGGTGGTGGTGGTTTTTGGCTTGATGATGGCTAAGTGTTGTAGGAATCCGGGAGCATTTGAGGGACGGTGGTGTTGGGGATACCGGCATCTGGAACAAAGGGGCAAGGGAGAGTAGTGGAATGGGAAAAATATTAGTAAATGACAGTGCTTATGGTTGTGGTGGTGGTGGTTTTCGGCTTGATGATGGCTGAAGTGTTGTATGGATCAGGGAGCATTCGCTGGACGGTGGTGTTGGGGATACCGGCACCTGGAAACAGGAAGAAAGCAGGGGGGAGAGGGAGGGGGAAAAAGAGAGGAGCGCACGGGGGAAATGGTGAGACGAGGGGAATGCATGAGGAATCGGGGAGCATATGTGGGACGGTGGTCTTCGGGATACCAGCACCTGGAAAACAGGGGAGAGAGACAGAAGGGAGGAAACAAGGGAGAAATGGTGAGACTTGGGAAGGGATATTTGGCTTGAGGCAGAGGCGTTGTGGGAATCGGGGAGCATATGTGGGACGGTGGTGTTGGGGATACTGGGACCTGGAAAAGTGGAGGGGGCAGGGGGGGATGGGGGAGGGAAGAGGGGAGAGAACGAGGGACATGGTGAGATGGTTTGCTGCTGGTGCTGGAGCTGGTTCTGGTTATCAGCGTAAAGACTGCGACGATTTTTTTGAGGCACCTCAAAAATGGTTTGCTGCTGGTGCTGGCTCTGGTTATCAGCGTAAAGACTGCGTAGGACTCGGGAGGATCTGCGGGGTGAGGAACCTTCCTAGGGGTGGGAGGGGAGGGCGGTGGAGGAGGAGGAGGAGGGGGGAGGGGGGGGGGGGGGGGGGGGAGGGGAGGGTGGGTGTGAAGAGAGGCGGAAGGTACAGGGAGACGGGAATCAGGACTCGCAACAACAGGGCCTCACCAAAGCATAGACCAAACTGGGTAAAAGGTAAAGCTGGAGCCTCACCATCATCAGGAGGCGGAGAAGGCTTGGGAGCAACCACCGGCGGCATTGGCGCACACCTACTCTTTGGTCAACATATTTCTACACATTCAAAGAAAGAAAAAAAAAAAAAACTAAAAAATGGCAAAAAGCTGGAGTCTCACCATCATCAGGAGGCGGGGAAGGCTTGGGAGCAACCACCGGCGGCGACGGCGACGGCGGATTCAGCGGGTCAATCGGGTCAGTCGGAGTCAACGGGCCATTCGCGCCGGGCGGCGGGTCAAACGGACTCGCAAACGGGTTGTTCGGATCGGACGGGTCCACTGCTCCCGCATTCGGCGGCGTCGTTGGCGGAATCTGCACCTTCGGTGTCGGTGCGGGCGGCAGCGTCGGCACCTTCGGTTTGGGCGGGAGAGCCGGCACTTTCGGCTTTGCCACTGGCGGTTTTGGCTTTTTTATCAAGCTCGCTTTTGGGTCCTTTCGACTGGGCTCTAATGGGAAACTCGCGACTCTGCCTTTAAAAGGGTTTAGCGTAAACGAGTCGGTGGTTGTTCGTTGCGGAACGGGGATGAGATCGAATGGTAACGGGTTGACATTATCGGGTATGAGAGGGCCCACTGGGGGTGCTGGTGACGGGTCAACCGGTTTCGGATTGGTGATCTTCGGCGGGAATGATATTACCGGGGGGGTTTTGACCGTGAACGGGGGAACGATTGTAACGGGAGGTAAGTTGGCGGCCGGATCGCTCGCGATTGGCGGCGACGAGTCGCCCTTTTTCTTCCCGTGCTTCCCCTTCTTTCCGTGCTTCCCTTTACGGCTCGATCCCCTCCGTCCTTTCTTCCGCCTGCTTGTTCCTGAGCCGTTGGATGAACCCCTTTGCCTCCGGTCCCCATCTCCCTCCGTGCTTCCGTCATCTGGGTAGTCGCCTTCGTTATAGTCACCCTCGCTACCGTCGCCCTCGCTATAGTCGTCGTCGCTAGAATCTCCATCACTGTACTCGTCCCCTCCGTCTCCAGAGGAATCGCTGTTATAGTCACCTCCATCCCCGCTATAATCGTCGTAGCTGTCATCCCCGTTACTGTCATCCCCGTTACTGTCGTCAACACTCCGCTTCTCCCGAGCATTCATATCGGAGTAATCGCCGTCGTCACCTGAACCTTCGGTAGACCCTGATCCCTCGCCATCGCCGCCATCACCACCATCCCCATCGCCGCCCCCGTCACCACCTCCGTCGCCGCCGTCGCCGCCACCATCACCACCGTCGCCACCTCCGTCGCCTTCGTCGACACCTCCGTCGCCTCCGTCGCCACCTCCGTCACCTCCGTCGCCACCTCCGTCACCTCCGTCGCCACCTCCGTCACCTCCGTCGCCGCCATCGCCGCCATCACCACCACCATCACCGCTGTCACCACCGTCGCCGCCTCCGTCGCCGCCTCTGTCACCACCCCCGTCGCCGCCACCACCGTCGCCCCCGTCGCCTCCGTCGCCGCCCCCGTCGCCACCTCCGTCGCCTCCCCCGTCGCCATTATCGCCATCAGAAGAAGACTTTTTCGAATGCGACGAACCTTTCGAATGCGACGAGCCTTTCGAATGAGAACCAGAGGAGGACTTTTTCTTCTTTCCTTTCTTTTTGGAACTTTTTCCTCCTCCTCCGTCTCCTCCTCCGTCTCCGCCTCCGTCCCCGCTGCCGTTTCCGTCGCCGTTTCCGTCGCCACCGTCTCCGCCTCCGTCCCCGCTGCCGTTTCCGTCGCCGTTTCCGTCGCTTCCGCTCTCGCCGTCTCCGTTTCCGTCGCCCGATGACCCGTCGCCGTCTCCCCGCGCATAGCGCTTCTTTGAACCCTTAGTCTTTTTCTTCGACGAGCCGCTCCCGCTACCTTCCCCGTCTCCTCCGGAGCTCGAACCATCCTTAGAGCTTTTCTTTGATCCCTTTTTCTTAGAACTCGTTTTCTTCGAACTCTTTTTATTAGAGCCCTTTTTCTTCTTCTTTCCAGAGGAAGACGAGCCTCCGTCTCCTTCGTCGCTCCCTCCTCCGTCTCCTCCGCCGCCCCCTCCCCCATCTCCGTCACTTTCTTGGACGCTTTTTCCGTCACTTCCTCCGTCGCCTGACGAACCTCCGTCACCACCTCCGTCGCCGCTGCCAGAGGAGGACCGGTCCCCGTTAGAAGAGGATCCGCTATCGGACGAGCTTGAGCCGCTATCGCCACCGTCCGACGAAGAGCTCTTTTTACTCTTCTTCTTTTTCTTGGATCCAGATGAAGAGGAGGAAGAAGACGACGAATCGCCGTCATTCCCGTCACTGGAAGAAGACGACGACTTTTTCTTCTTGCTCTTTCCTTTTTTCTTCTTAGACGACGAGGACGAGGAGGAGGAACCTTCGCCGTCTCCAGACCCCGACGAATCACCACCGTCGGATCCTGAATCGGACGACGACGAGGAACCGCCGCCGCTGTCAGAGGACGAATCCGAAGACCCTGACGAATCTCCTGAAGAATCTCCTGAAGAAGAATCGCCGTTGCTATCAGACGACGATCCGCTGCTCTTGGAACTTTTTTTGGATTTCTTCTTTTTAGAAGACGATGACGATGAGGAAGAATCTGAGGAAGAATCCGAAGAGGAGGAAGAGCTCTTCTTTTTCTTCTTCTTTCCGCTGGAGCTGGACGACGAATCAGACGAGGACGACGAGCCTGACGATTTATCGGACGAACCGCTGGAACTTCCGTTTCCATCGCCTCCACCATCCCCATCGCTCGAAGAAGATTCTGACGAGGACGACGATTTTTTATCTGACGATGAGTCGGAGCTTCCAGAGTCTGACGACGAAGACGACGAGTCGCCACCGCCGCCGTCGCCACCTCCGTCGCCACTGCCAGAGTCTGACGACGAACCGTCGCCAGAGTCGGATGACGAGGCTAGTTGCCGTGCGACAACTTCAAGGTGCTCCTTGAGTTTCTGGGGGTGGGCACGATTGGGAGCAAGCAAAAAAATAAATTGATGACAAGATGTAAGGTGTACGTATTTATATGAACTTTATGCAAAATGTTTGAGGAGGTGTACGAATGAAATGCAGTGGTTAATTTCATCAGAATGGCTTCACAAAACGTCGATCGAATTCGGTTCTTCAGTTTGATCATAACGTACCTCAGATCGACGCTTTTGGTTCCTACAACTGCATCATCTCACCTTTGTCTCTGATATTGATGTCCGTCCATTCGACAATTGCCACGTATTCATGTCTCCGGCGGCTCCTTCATAACTTCTTGCAGCGTCTGAAAGGAACGCGATGAGAGGAGAAGGGGAAATATTGCGTTCGGAACTAGAGTACCGGCACCATTCTTGTAAGGAGGGTAGCACATACTCAAATGCCTCAGTTAGAGTAAATCGCTCCCACGGGAACCTGCCTTAGTGTTTTGTTCACCGTTGCCTCGGTTGCAATGTACACCGATATAATCACACCATCAAACTCCAACTTAGCTACTTCAAGTTGAAAAGCTTATGCATCAAGAACCACTTTCTCCTCCGCTGTTGTATACGTTGGTGAAGTCCTGACAATTCCCTTGTTTCACGGGGAAGAGCTATATCTTTACCTTGACTTTGCGCGGGAGTTGCGGCGTGGAGGATGATAAGCACCGTAACGAGTAAAACAACGTCGGAGGACATAAACAGGCCCCTCCCCTCTGCTTTCCCCATGATCGCTAGCTCAGCTAAACTTTCAATTGAACTGTGTCTCCTATTCTACTCCATGCCACGGCGCCTCGAAGAAAAAAAAAGGCCTCCGAATGTGCCTCAAACGAGGGGACGATGCCGACCTCAACCCGACAGTACCGTAATGCCTTATCTCTGTTTGAGAACCCTATGCACCGATGCGACTCGACGACGCTTGCTAATCAATCGATACGTTCGGTCTGGTCGAGAGAGACTCGATAAGGCGAGCCTTGCTGCGTCGCTCGCCAGGGAGGCCAGAAGATCGAACGCAAGCGCCCTCGAGGCAATACTTACGAAAAAGGGCGGCAAGATTGATTGTAACAATTACACTCTACTGGCTCTGCTGTATCGGGTTTGACGATCTCTGACGAAGGGCAACTGCAATGCGCTTGGACGGAACACAGATAGCAGACGGGAGCAGTTCAGCGCTACTCTGAGAGTCTAACTGCAATGCCTATTCGTCTGACTGAGACAGCGAGGATCAGACTGGTCGAGCGAGACTCGAAAATCCGGTCAGTCGCCAAGGGCTGGGCGTGGTTGAGAAAAGCGACTGAATCACGTGCACGTGAGAACGCGTTCCGGAAGACGTGCAAAGGCGATGCGAGATGGCGGCCTACTAGCACGCCAAGGGTGCAGGCTGGAACCGCGACGAATGACGTGGTCGTGATGAGCCAAGGGGCTATATGAGGGAGGGATTGGTGGTTGTGACTTCTTGCTTGCAATATGTTGCGAGAGTGCGAGGTGGTGTGGGTGGAGTGCAGAGAGAAGCAGCCCAACCTAAGTGAAGGTTGCGTGTGTTGCATGCTGAGAAAGACCACAGCTCACGACACCAACTCAACCAAGGGCTGGGAACGTGCGGGAGGGGAAGAAATTACTGGATGTGTGGGGGGCCAACAGAATTGGCTGGTCGTTGGGTCTCACGATGAGGAAAGAAATTGGTGCAGGCAATGTGGGATCGAATCGCACATTGAAGTTGGAAAAATAGCGCTTTGGAAAGGTGGTTTGTTGACTCTTTCGTGGTGTAGGGTGCCATGTCAGACGCTGGCTGCGCCTTTTGATCGCACGTTGCGGGACTCACGGTGAGCCTTCGGTTTCGGTCAGCGCAGGTCTCGTAAGAGGGCAACGTGGACAACACTCTGTCGAAGCTACACCAGACGTATATTTTCCTGCTAAGAGGAACACACAAACAGAAGCAACAACGCACCCTGAATAACGCACCCTGTTAGATGGCGCATGGGCTTATACTGTGACGAATGCGCCTATAACTGGTTATCGATTATCGAGGCATCCTCGTTGCAGATTCGCGATTCGCGCTCGCTTCTCCGATCTACAACATTGTTCACTGTCCTTATAGAGTATATGACTGCGTGACTTTATTTTGCTTCTTTTACATGAATGTGCACGTGATTGTACACAACACGTATTGTGCTTCTCTTATAAGCGCTGGGGATTGCGTGTTGTGAATGCGCATGAACAGCACATACCTCAGGCTAGACTAATATTGCTTTTGGCGTCATTTTAGCCAAACGTTTGTTCCACTGCTGGATGTAAATGCTTGAGTTGTGAAGCATGGTGATTCATCCCAAACTACTGCTGAAAAGCTCTGTTAGGGACTGTATGAAGACAAACACATACAATAGGTTGAAACCAACAACTCCAAAAACTCGGTTGTGCTTTATACCAATGAACAGCAAAAAGCTACCACCGGGTCCTAGATCTCTAGCTCAATGAATGAAAAAAATCAGAAATACCACTGAAGGTCAAGGTTTGCAGAGCAATGGATATAAATTATGGTGGTTTGCTCAGAAACTTGTAGGACTGAATTTGTCAACACGTGCATTTTCAGCGGATTGACAGATTTAACAGTGGTAATCATCATTGCAAACCAAGACTGGGACCGCAACGGAACAAAAGATGAGAGGACAGAGGAGAAACGGGAAAAGAAAGGGAGTGGGAGAGAGCGGGAGGGGGGAGGGAGAGAGGGAGAGAGAGGGAGAGGGAGAGAGGGGGAGGGAAAGGGAGAGGGAGAGAGGGAGAGAGAGAGAGAGAGAGAGAGAGAGAGAGGGAGGGAGGGGGGGGGGGGAGATGAGGGAGAAAGGGAAGGAGACAGGGAGAGAGCACGGGTGAGCTAGTGAATGAGAGGCCAAGGGTGGCCTGATGAGGGGTCATTATCGTAGTAGCTCGAAGCTAGGTTGTGCGCAGAATGATTGTTGATTGGGTTCATAAGTTGATCCCGTCAACTGCCCATTCCCCGCATATTCTGTTCTTGCAAAACACTCATTCAGTTCACAGGATAGGTAGCCTGTCTCTGAACACACTCGGTTTTGCGTATAGTTAATTCAGAAGTCAACAAATGCTACCAAATCTGAAATGCACCACCTAGGACGGAAACACAAAATGATAAAACGGAAACAGTGAAACGTGGA